CTTCCTCGTCAATAGCCAGCCATGAGTCATGTGTGTGGTGGCAGATGCACGGCTCCTGATGAAGAAGTAACAATGAATCATGCTTGGTTCACAGCAGGTGTAGTGGTAGACGCACGGCTCCTCGGCAGTGAGGTTCTGGCGCCACGACGCGGAGGGCTCGATCTGCAGCTGCTGCCAGACATAGTTCTTGACGCCTAATCAATCGATCATCAGTAATAATGAGGGCTCGATCTGCAGCTGCTGCCAGACAGAGTTCTTGACGCCAAGCGCGGCGCACGCGATGGAGTAGCCCCACATCTCGAGCACCCACCTAATTAATGGTTAATCAATACTTAATCGGGCCTCATTAACTCTTAATTAGCCCCACATCTCGAGCACCCACCCCAGCGCCGCGTCCGCCTCGCGGTCCCGCTTCAGCCGGACCGACAACTCGAGCCATAGCGGCGCCAGCCGCTTGAGCGTGTCAACGTGCATGATGGCCGGCGACGGGCCAACCGGCTGCACGTCGCGGTGGTCGCCTTGGTAGTATCGCCGCACGACCGCCGCCTGCCTCTCCGGCGCGGACGACATGTACGGGAAGAAGAATGCCACGTTCAGCGCCGGGGTCGCTCGGTTGGGCAGGTCCCGCAGCAGGAGGTGGTCTGTCTCTGCAATGTAGACGTAGTCCTCAGGGACCATCGCCCGCCACGCGTCCGTCTTCACCATCTGGGCGATCGTCCAAGGGCGGTTGATCACCTGGATAGGGGGTAGGGGTAGGGCTGGGGCTGGGGTTAGGGTTGGGGCTGGGGTTAGGGTTGGGGCTGGGGTTAGGGTTGGGGTTGGGGTTAGGGTTGGGGTTAGGTTTACAGTTAGGGTTGGGGTTGGGATCTGGGTTAGGGTTAGGGTTAGGTTTACGGTTAGGGTTGGGGTTGGGATCTGGGTTAGGGTTAGGGTTAGGTTTACGGTTAGGGTTGGGGTTGGGATCTGGGTTAGGGTTAGGGTTAGGTTTACGGTTAGGGTTGGGGTTGGGATCTGGGTTAGGGTTAGGGTTAGGGTTACGGTTAGGGTTGGGGTTGGGATCTGGGTTAGGGTAAGGGTTGGTCACCTGGAAGCCCCGCGTCTGGTCCGAGCCGGCCTGCTCGACAAGAAGGAATGACTGCATGAATGAATGAACGAGTGAACGAATGTTGACTGGCCCACGCCGGCCTGCTCGAGATGAGCTCATTGGTTGATTGATTGCGTTAACTCACGACTCGGTGAATGAATGAATTGCTGCTGGCTGGTCCGAGCCCGCCTGCTCGACGACGATGGTCGGGATGGTGTCCATCAGCGAGTCGCCCCTGCCGCCCGCTGAGGCGAGGATGCGCGTGAACCTATGTCGTCAGTTACGCCAATAGGAGGGCGGGAAGGCGGTGTGTGCAGTGTCTTCAGAGCACCGCGTGAGTACGAGAAAGACGAACGCAGTGAATGCAGTTGAACACAGTTGAATGAGTGTCCTCTCGAGCGCTGGTCGGGAGACAAGAGCACATCTTC